CAATTTGCTTTTTTTCTTTTTTCTTTTAATTTTAAAGAGATTTATTCTGAGCCAAATTTGAGGACCATGACCTGGAGCCATGTCCAAGAAGCCTTGAGCAATTGGACTCTTTGCTTCCTTTTTTTTTTGCTTTTGCAACCCAGGAGCACATTCAAGTTGCTCTGAATGTGTACTCTGTCTTTGTTTCCTTTTTAAAATTCTTTCCATTTTTGCTTCATGTACTTTGAAGCTCTATTGATAGGTACATATGCATATGTTATATGTTCCCAGTGAATTGACTCTTGTCTTTATGGAATGTTCCACATTATCTCTAGTAATACTCTGTATTTTGCACTCTGTTTGATGTTAATACAGTTACTCCAGCCTTGTTAGGCTTCCCTGTTTGATTTCAACCTATTTGTGTCTTTGTACTACACTTAATCTTAGCCAAAAGGCTGAGAAGTGATTGTGTCTTTATGTTTAAAATTCATCTCTTATAGGCAGCACATACTTGGGGCTTGCTTTTTTATCTATTCTGATAATCTCTGCTTTTCAATTAGATAGTTAAATTCACTTACATTTGATGAAATTCTTGACAAGTTTGGATTTAGGACTATTTTCTGTTTGTATCCTCTGTTTTTTTTTTTTTTCAGGTATGTACATGAAAATAGCCTCAGGTTTTTATTTCTCTTCTCTTCCCTGCCTTTTGAGTTAATTTAATTTTTATTTTTTTTCCCTGAGACAGAGTCTCACTCTGTTGCCCAGGCTAGAGTGCTGTGGTGTCAGCCTAGCTCACAGCAACCTCAAACTCCTGGGCTCAAGCAATTCTCCTGCCTTAGCCTCCCAAGTAGCTGGGACTACAGGCATGTGCCACCATGCCCAGCTAATATTTTCTATATATTTTTACTTGGCCAATTAATTTCTTTCTATTTTTTATAGAAATGGGGTCTTGCTCTTGCTTAGGTTGATTTCTAACTCCTGATCTTGAGCGATTCTCCCACCTTGGCCTCCCAGAGTGCTAGGATTACAGGCGGGAGCCACCACGCCCAGCCAATATTTTTAGAATATAACTTTAATCCATTGGGTTGATGGCTATAAATTTCCTGAAATATTTGTTCTTTTAGTATTTGTCATAGGCATTATACCATAAAGTTAATATTGCACTACTTCATTGTAAGTATAAGAACATGTATGTATCAGGGTAGATGCATCTCCATCCCTGTCCTTTGTGCTGTAGATGTCAATAATATAATACATAATATGTATTATAGTCATATACATTATAAACCTCACAATATAGTATTATAATTTTTGCCTTAAACACTCATGTATAGAAATTGAGAGGAAAAATAGTCTACTTGTTTATTTACTGTTTCCAATAGTCTTTTTTTTAATTATTTTATTTTATTTTTTTAGAGATGTGGTCTTGCTCTTGCTCAGGCGGGTATGGAACTCCTGAGCTCAAACGATCTGTCCACCTCGGCCTCCCAGAGTGCTAGGATTACAGGCTCCAATAGTCTTTATTCTTTTCTGAAGATCTAAGTTGCCATCTGTATCATTTCCCTTCAACCCTCATAACTTTTTTAAAAAAGGAAAACATTTCTTATAGTGTCTGTCTACTGGTGATGAGTTCTTTGTTTTCATTTATCTGGGAATATGTTTATTTTAATCACTGTTCTTGAAGTGTATTTTCTTGAATGGAATTCTGGGTTGACAGGTGTGTTCTGTTTTTTTTCCCTTCTGTTCTGTATTGATTTTTATTTGAAGTCAGCATTCATTGGTATGATTGTTCCTCTCATGTGGTGTTTTTGTCTCGCTGTTTTCAGAATATTTTCTTTTTGATTTCTAGTAGTTTGACTATGATAAGCTTAGTTGTGGGGAACTTTTTGCATTTATTGTCTCGGGGTTCTCAGCTTTTCATGAATATTTAAATTAGTGTTTCACCAAATCTCAAATCTGGCATTTTTTCTCCCTCCCCCCCCCCCCACAGAGTCTTGCTGTGTTGCCTAGGCTAGAGTGAGTGCCCTGGCATCAGCCTAGCTCACGGCAACCTCAAACTCCCTGGGCTCAAGCGATCTTCCTGCCTCAGCCTCCCAAGTAGCTGGGACTACAGGCATGCGCCACCGTGCCCAGCTAATTTTTTCTATATATATTAATTGGCCAATTACTTTCTTTCTATTTATAGTAGAGACGGTCTCGCTCTTGCTCAGGCTGGTTTCGAACTCCTTACCTCGAGCAATCCGCCCACCTCGGCCTCCCAGAGTGCTAGGATTACAGGCGTGAGCCACCACACCCGGCCAATTTTTTTTCTTGAAATAATTTTTCTGATCCATTTTTTTCTTCTGGAACTCCAACTAAATGTATATTAATACCTATTAATACTGTCCCATGGGTCCCTGAGGCTTTATTTTTTCTGTTTCAGACTGGACACATTTTCTGAATTTATCTTCAAGGTCACTACCTGTCCAGTGAATTTTTTATTTTCAGTATTGTGTTTTTCATTGTAAGATGTCCTTTTATTTTTTTAGTTTCAGCTTCTACTTTGAGATTTTCAGTTTGTTTATTCTTTATGAGCATATTTCTTTTATGTCCATTGACATCATTGTAAATAACTGAAATGTTTGTCTGCTGTATCCAAATATGTTTAATCTTGAGATTGGTGTCCATTGATTGCTTTTTGAGTATTGTGTTTGTTTTCCTATAGGTCTGTTAATTTTGGATTATGTCCCAGACATTCTGAATGAGATGCATTATTAGAGTCTCTGGATTCTGTTATGTTTCCCCAAAGGTTATTGATTTTTACAGTTTTGTTTTTAGCAGGCAGTCAAGTTGATTGGATTCAAACTGCAAACTCCGCCTCTTTTATAGAAGGCAGCAGCTGAAATATTAAGTTTTTATTCTTAAATTTTATCTAGATTGCTTAGAACTGTCCTGTGTGTGGATCCAGTGATCAGCCAGAGATTTGAGTAGAGTTTATATACAAATTTGGGGTTTCCACTTCTTAGACTGTCTCCTTCTCAGCCTTGCTTCCTCATTTTCTAGTTCCTGTGGTTGTCCTGCAATCTGTTGTCAAGCCAGCAAGACTGTGGGTTTCTATCTGAGTTTTAGCCATACCTCTTCCCTGTTTTAGGACCCACTGGGACATATCCTCAGGCTGAAAACCATGAATAAAAAATTACCCAGATCCTTCCTGCTTCCAAGGGATTGTTGATGACCCTTCTAGTTTCTGCCTACTTTAGTCACTCTGTAGCACCTCCAGGTAGTTGCTTTATAATATTTTGCCCCAGGGTTTGTGGTTATTCTTGGTGGGAAAGTTGATCTGATAGAACTACTCGGCCAATACCAGAAGGGGAAATACCAGAAGTGGAAATTCTGTATATTATCTTTGAAAGTTGGGATGACAGGGGCCTTATAAAAACAGAATGATAGCAAATATTTGTATAGCAATTGTTATGAAAGCACTTTAAATGTAGATTATGTGATTTATGATGATTGTTTTTGCCTACTGTATCATTAACAAAGGGTGTAGGCGCTGCTGCACATTGTGCCAAAAACTTGGACAGGAAATGAATCTGAAGTCTAAATTCAGCATAATTGTACATATAAAATGATGTGATAGCTAAAAGTAAGAAAGTAGGGAGGAAGATAATAATGGAAACTATAGGTATGAGAAAAAAATAGAAAAATTTTGTGCTTTTGGAAAGATAATATGTCACTTGGGAAAGCGGAGACAAAGTATGAATATGTGAAAGTATTGTCTTGCTACATAGTTCTTTCAGTTCTTTAAATAAAGCTTCTTTGGGTAGCCTTTTTCTTTATTTCTCTACCTACTCAAAGCTGGGCCATAGTTTACCAGTATCTCCCCACCTCTTCATAGGACCCTTGGTTTTATGGTATTGGTTTTGTTCTTTTTAAATGTTTATACTCATAATATTTCACAGTTTGAAATTTTTACAAAACATGTTTGGTTTCTCTTTATTCACTATAAGTTCTATGAGGACTAGGATCATGTTTTTGGATGCCCAGCTCCTAAGCCAATGCTTCACATGTATTATTAGATGCTCAGTCAACAGTTGAGGTTTAAATGAGTGAATGTACACACATGTACCCACACACATGCATACCATACATGGTTACCAAGGAATGCAAAGAGAGTTATAAACATACATCTATTATAGCCTGTCTTAAACTGTTCAGTAGAGGTGAGGGTGTTTTTTGTTGTTGACTTTGATTTTGAAGGAGGTGTTAGGCAGGAATCGAATAAAGTTGTTGAGGAAGTGTTGCAAATTGGGATGAGGAAAGAAGTGGCAGGAAGATTTGGGGTGAAATTAAGATAATATTAGCAAGAGCTGATAAACTACTTTGTAAATTAGCAATGAAGAGGCTTTCTAAAAAGTTACTTTTTTTGGAGACAGTCTCACTCTGTTGCCCAGGCTAGAGTGCCATGGCGTCAGCCTACCTCACAGCAACGTTAAACTCCTGGGCTTAAGCAATCTTTCTACCTCAGCCTCCCGAGTTGCTTGGACTACAGGCATGCACCACCATGCCCAGCTAATTTTTTCTATATATTTTTAGTTGTCCAGCTAATTTCTTTCTATTTTTAGTAGAGATGGGGGTCTCGCTCTAGTTCAGGCTGGTTTTGAACACCTGACCTTGAGCTATCCTCCCGCCTAAGCCTCTTAGAGTTCTAGGATTTTAGGTGTGAGCCGCTGTGCCTCGCCTAAAAAGTTATTTTTAAAAATTTTCTAATGAATTTGGAGACTACTAGATGGTGGAAAAAATTTTGAAGGGTTAAGCCTAGGCTGGTAGTATTGAGCCCCAAAAGAATGATTCAGGCAGTGGTCTCAAATGTGAGACACCTGAAGCATGGAGACTGCGATAAAAATCAAGTAGTGCCGTTAGTTCCCGCTTGCTTCTGTGTTTTAGGGTTTCAAGTTCCCGAAATGATAGTGAGTTCAAAGCAAGTATTTATAGGTTATTATAATTCGTTTTCTTACTAGCAAAATTTTCTTGTTTCACAGCTCTTGGATAAGCACAAGAATACAGAGAGCATGGTGGAGCTTCTGGACTTGTATCAGATGGAAGATGAAGCCTACAGCAGCCTCGCGGAAGCTACAACTGAGCTGTATCAGTATTTACTACAGCCATTCCGAGACATGAGGGAACTTGCCATGCTACGAAGACAGCAGATCAAGGTATTTTTCTTTCCTTTCCTTTCTTTTCCTTTTCCTTTTTCTTTTCTTTTCTTTTTTTTTTTTTTTTATTGAGACTAAATAGTAGGCTGCCTATTTGAAAGTTCTCTGCCTGGCTGGCCATGCATATTAATTACTAGAAGAGCTTTAAAAAAATGGAGATATCTGGTCGTTTTCCCTCAAAGATTCTAGGTTCGTAGATTTGGGTTATAGCCAGAGCATCTCATTTTTAGAGCATCTCAGGAGCTGATTCTGCTGAGTAGCCAGGATTGGGAATAGCCTAGAAATAATGTGGTCTAGTTAGCATAAAGTTGTAAATAGATTGGGAGATCCCCATCTTCCCCCTTTTCCTATGTTTCCCCTCCTTTTCTACTCCTGTCTGCCTTTTAATGTTTTGTGTACTGTGTAGTTTTAGACTTCTTTGCCAGAAGTTTTGGAGACATTTATTTTTGAGAAGAACTTGTTAGAGGCAAGCATTTAAAGGTTTTGATTTTTAGCCGATCTCAAGTCATGTTACTATGTATAATTCACATAAAAATGTTGTTGAATTAGGACATTAAAACTTTTTGCCCCTCTCTCCCTCTGTATCCCCTTTAGAAAAAAGAAATTCTTTTTGCATGATGGGTTAAATTGGAACATTATGTAAGATTGTGTGTTTGATGAAAACAAAAGACTAGTCATATTTTTATCCTCCTGTAACTGTGAAGCTATCTTTATGCAATGACACTTCTACAGGGCTACAGGGCCAAATGTACGGTTGCTGTGATATTGTATGTTGTACTTCTAATTAGTGAAACCAAGTGGCCAGCCTGAGCAAGAGCAAAGACACTGTCTCTTCCAAAAATAGAAAAATTAGCTGGCCATGGTGGCATGTGCCTGTAGTCCCAGCTACTGGGGAGCCTGAGGCAGGAAGATCTTTTGAACCCACTAGTTTCAGGTTACTGTGAGCTAGGCTGACACCATGGCACTCTAGCCAGGGCAACAGAGCGAGACTCTTGTCTCAAAAAAAAGACCATGAAGCAAATTATGAAGATAATTTCAGCCAAATAACTTAAATAATTGGAGCCTTTGTTTCTGTGATTAGAATGTATTTTTGTTACTAAGTGAGACTAAGTATATTACTAAAAATGTTTTCCTGGCTCAAACTATCAGATTAGTCTTCTGAATCTTTTTTCTGAATTATTTTTATTTATTTTGTTTTTCTTTCTTTCTTCTTATGACTTTTTTTTTTTTTTTTTGAGACAGTCTCACTCTGTTGCCTGGGCTAGAGTGCCGTGGCATCAGCCTAGCTCACAGCGTCCTCAAACTCAAGTGATCCTCCTGCCTCAGCCTCCTGAGTAGCTGGGACTACAGGCATGTGCTACCATGCCCAGCTAATTTTTTCTAAATATTTTTAGTTGGCCAATTAATTTCTTTCTATTTTTAGTAGAGACAGGGTCTCGCTTTTGCTCAGGCTGGTCTTGAACTCCTGACCTTGAGGGATCCTCTCACCTCGGCCTTCCAGAGTGCTAGAATTACAGGCATGAGCCACTGCGCCTGGCCATAAATCTTAATTTAGTAAGATCTGTAGTAGTTTTTGTATTAACAAGATACAGAATCAGTGGCTAAAATAGAGTAAGAAATAATGTTTCACCCTAACAGTAGTGCCATTGGTGCGATATGTGCTTTGCACATGGAGCTAATCAATCATCAATTTAAAAACCTTGGACCAGGCGTGGTGGCTAGCGCCTATAATTCTAGCACTCTGGGAGGCCAAGGTGGGTAGATCGTTTGAACTCAGGAGTTAGAGACCAGCCTGAGCACCAGCGAGACTCTGTCTCTACTAAAAATAGAAAGAAATTAGCTGGACAACTAAAAATATATAGAAAAAATTAGCTGGGCATGGTAGTGCATGCCTGTAGTCCCAGCTATTCGGGAGGCTGAGGCAGAAGGATTGCTTCAGCCCAGAAATTGGAGGTTGCTGTGAGGTAGGCTGATGCCACACCACTCTAGCCTGGGCAACAGAGTGAGACTCTGTCTCGGAAAAAAATAAAAAAACCTTAAGGTAAGAGGGAAAGGAAGGTAGTTGAATGTATATATATATCAATTTCGGTATTATTAATATTTGAATTTATTATTGTGGAATCTTATTTTCTTCAGACAGTGAAGAAATATATGTGTTGAATTGATGGTGTTATAAATTTATTTTGCAAGTACATTAACTTACAGTTACATTGATTAGTCCAAATTGTTACTGCTCCCATGTCTCAGAAATGATTGCACTATTTCTGGATCTAATAATGTGTGGTAGGACTCTTTGACAATTCTGGGTGGAGTTACTTGGATCTAGGGCTTTCTTTTCATGTTTTTGGTAAGTGAACAATCTCAGGCCCATAAAATCTCAATTTGAAACCTTGGCAAGATATCAAGGGGTGAAGCTAAAGTTGTGGTTATAGAGAAATTTATTGCTTTAAATTTTCATGTTAGGAGCAGAAGAAAGATCTGAAATCAATTCTCTAAGCTTCTACCCTAAGAAAAATGAGCAGCTTAAAACAAAGTTAAATAAAATTGGAAAAAAATTGAGTAGAAATCAGTGAGAAACGAGACAGCAGATAAAAATCAGTGAAACCAAAACCTGGTTATTTGAAAAACATGTATGTCTCAATGTATTTTAGAAACCAAGTTAATTTTTTAAAAAACTATTTTTAAATCCCCACAGATACTACAGGTATTAAACAGTATGGGAATGTAAATAAGTTTGTGCCAGTAAATTTTAAAACTTACATGAAATGGACGTGGTTTCTTAATTGATATCTTTGAAAACTCTAGGTGCAGATGACATCATTGGAATATTCTCTGAACATTTAAGGAAGAAATAGCAATCCTACACAAATTCTTACAAAAATAAAGTATGAGAGTATTTCCCATCTCATTTTATGAGGCTAGCATTTATCCTGATAACACAATCAAACTACAGAAAAAGAAAACTATGTAAACATCTCTTCGTGAATGTATTAAGTTAATCCTTAATACAAGCAAAAAAGATGCAGTAATCTATAAAATGATGTACTATGATCAAGTGGGGTTTATGCCAGAAATATAAGGCTAGGTTAATATTTAAAAACAAATAAAGGTAGTTTACCATACTATCAGAATAAAATGGGGAGACCCCAGTGTATTCTACAAATGCAGAAAAGCATTTGATAAAGTTCCATATTCATTTTTGATTAAAACACTCAACAAATTAGGAAGAGGGGGAAACTTCTTCAACCTGCTAAAGGACATGTATGAAAAATGTATCTAACATTAACTTAGTGGTAAATAACTGAAATCTTTCCCGTAGGATTTAGATCAAGGTAAGATTATATACTCTGACCACTTATATTCAGTATTATTCTGGAGCTCCTAGGTTCTAGTCAATAAGGCCAAAAAAAAAAGGTACTTAAACTGGTAAAGTAAAGCTGTCTTTATTTGTAGATCACACTGTCATTTATGCAGAAAATCCTAAGGAGTCTGAAAAAGCTACTAGAAATAATATGGAAGTTTATACAGTTATGGGGTACAAAGTCAATAAAGTTTCAGTTGTATTTTTTGTTTTCTAAATATGAACAACTGTAAATTAAATTTAAAAAAATATTTTCCCTATTGCTGAATATGAAACTCTTAGGGGAGATAAGTTTTATGAAATACATAAAAGTCTTGAACACTACAAATTACAAAATTTTGCTGAATTTACAGCATATCTAAATACAAGTCAAGATACACAATATTAATAGATTGTAAGATTCAGTAATATTTATATGTTCTCATTTAATTGTTCTATAGATGAAAATTTTCAGCAGTGATTTTTTTATATTTAAATTGACAAAATTATATTTATGTACAACATGCTTCAAAATATACATCCCGTGGCATGGCTAAATAACATATGAATTACCTCACCTCATTTTTTTGTGGTGAGAACACTTCAAATCCACTCCGTGATTTTTTTTTTTTTTTTGAGACAGACTCACTTTGTTGCCCAGGCTAGAGTGAGTGCCGTGGCGTCAGCCTGGCTCACAGCAACCTCAAACTCCTAGACTCAAGCGATCTTCTTGTCTCATCCTCCGGAGTAGCTGTGACTACAGGCATGTGCTACCATGCCTGGCTAATTTTTTCTATATATATTAGTTGGCCAATTAATTTCTTTCTATTTATAGTAGAGACGGGGTCTCGCTCTTGCTCAGGCTGGTTTAGAACTCCTGACCTCGAGCAATCCGCCTGCCTCGGCCTCCCAGAGTGCTAGGATTACAGGCGTGAGCCACTGCGCCTGGCCTACTCCGTTATTTTTAAAGAATAAAATACATTGTTATTAGCTATAGTCACCAAATTTGGCAGTAGATCTCTTTTTTCAGTATCAGTAGAACATCAAGTAGTGTACAGATTTCTTGAACTTACTCCTCCTATCTAATTGAAATTTTGTATCCTTTGACCAATTATCTCCCTAACCCACCCACTCTCCCCAGCCCTGGTAACCACCATTCTACTCTACTTCTGTGAGTTCAACTTTTATTTTATTTTATTTTATTTTATTTTATTTTATTTTATTTTATTTTATTTTATTTTATTATTTTATTATTTTATTATTTTATTATTTTATTTATTTTATTTTATTTTATTTTATTTTATTTTATTTTATTTTATTTATTTGTTTGTTTGTTTGTAACATTCAGCCAAAAAACAAGAGTTCAAGTGAGGTAATGCAGTATTTGCCTTTCTGTACTTGGCTTATTTCACTTAATGTAATGTTCTTCAGGTTCATTGATGTTACTGCAAATGACGGGATTTCCATCTTCTTCTTTTTTTAGAAAAGAGAGACAGGGTCTTGCTCTGTCATGTAGGCTGGTGTTCAGTGTCACAGTCATAGCTCACTGCAGCTTCAAACTCCTGGGCTCAAGCAATCCTACTGAATAGCTGGGAGTATAGGCGGAGGCCACTATGCCAAGCTAACTTAAAAAAAAAAAAATTGAGACTAGGTCTCCAAC